TTTTTTTAAGAGATGGGGTTTCACCACGTTGGCCAGGATGGTCTCGATCTCTTGACCTCATGATCCACCCGCTCGGCCTCCCAAAGTGCTGGGATTACAGGCATGAGCCACCCCGCCTGGCCCCCTAGATCTCTTTTCAAGAGCCTTACTGGTTGGACGCAGTGGTTCACACCTATAATCCCAGCCCTTTGGGAGGCCAAGGCAGGCAGATCACCTGAGACCAGCCTGGCTAACATGGTGAATCCCCCTCTCCACTAAAAATATAAAAATTAGCCAGGTGCTGTGGTGGTGTGCACCTATAATCCCAGCTACTTGGGAGGCTGAGGCCCAATAATCACTTGAACCAGGGAGATGGAGGTTGCAGTGAGCTGAGATCGCCACTGCACTGCAGCCAGGGAGACAGAGTGAGACTCCATCTAAAAAAAGAAAAGAAAAGAAAAAGAAAAAAGCCTTTCCAAGCATTGAATCTCCTCTTACCCCAAGGCACTCACCTCCAATGGTGCTCTCCTGGTACTCATGGAACTGCCCTTTGACAAAACGTAATACCAGGCTTGACTTTCCCACTGCAGATTCTCCCAGCAGGACCAATTTGAACTGGCATATTTTGCTGGCCTGGGGTTGCCCATTGGGCCTAGCTGTGCTTCTGCTAGTCATGGCCAGATTATCAGAGTAGGAAAGGGTGGAGGGAGGGGGATGCCGTAAAGGCGGGGGGGGGAAGGGGAGGGGATTTCCAGGCTTCAACAGTCCTGCAAGAAAAAAAAGTGAATAAAATTAGACATAGGTCCATTGAACTGCAATTGCTTTTCAGAAAAATGATAGAATCTCTTCATCTCCTTGCTCCTATGAGGACTTAGCTCTTGCAATCATCCACTATTGACAGGTTATACCTCTGAGAAGGTCCCAGGCAGCTGATACTCAGTTCTAAGAGTTGGGAACTTGAACAAAATAAGAACTGCTTCTAGAGTTTGCCCTATCACATAATCTCTAACTGCCAAGGGAGCTGAAATAGAGAGATTGAAAACTGAGAGATTTTAATTCCCTAGTAATTTCCCACCAGGTCTTTAAGATTTTTTTGTTTGAGTCACACAAACTGATCAACCTTTGGTTGGCCTGAAGAATATCCAGATCCACCCAAAGGTACCCTAGATCCCCTGTATCTCCTTGGCATCCGGGTGCTGTGTTCTTTTTCTTTTAGCTCTTTGTCAGAATGAGAGATTCACTATAGGGCTGTGGG